CTCTTGTCCTTCCTCTTTACTCTTGGGGTCTCAAAGGTGTCTTCTTTAGGAGCTGTTAAAAATCACAAAAAGGCAAGGACTCTGGAGCACTGCTGAATGCTTGAGGTAGAAGTGAGTGGAAGAAAGGAGGGAGGAGAAGCAGAGAGGCTAGGTCAAGTGCTCTCTGGGGATAGACAGAACCAGTGTTCTAGGGCAGGGCTGCTCACAGAACAGGATGGAGGACAGTATTGTAGGCTGTGCCTATATGGCTCTTGAGAAAGGTCTGTCTGGATGGGATGAAGAGGAAGAAAAGCAGCCCTACATTAGGTGGCAAGCTGTGTGTGATTTTTAGCGTCACAGGCTTTCTGATTCTAATTTCCTTTCTTTTTCTTCACCTATGAGGGGCAGTAGAAGAGATGAGTCCCTGCCTCCAGGGATTTCTGATGGTTTGAAATGAGATCATTGTTGTAAAGAGCAGTAATTTAAAATGCAGCCCAGATATCCCCTCTCCCACAGAGCTCATCACTGTTTCTCTCTGCTTAACCCTTGATGTCTATTGTTGAGTTTGTCACTGCATTGCAACGAGTTGGCTTGCATGCTTGCCCACTAGAGAATGAGATCTGTGAGGATGGGTGAGTAGGACTTATTCATGTGGGCATCCCCTGTGTCCAGCTGAGGGCCTGGTGCAGAGGACTAGAAGATGGTGAAATTATAAGTTCCTTTCTTCCCTTATTCACGATGCTCAGTAACACAGATTGTTCAGCTTGGAGGTGATGATGCTTATTCCAAGATGACCTGAAGCTTCGAAGATTCCAAATTTAGCAAATCAGTAAACAAACAGCTTCTTTATGGGGATATCAACAACTTCCAGATCAGCAAAGCTTGGCTAATAAGATGTTTCTGTGAAGACTGGCCCAAACAGCAATGAGGAAAAGATGCAGGGGCTCAAAACAGCATGTGCCAGGGAGCGGGTATAAAAGTGAGGGCCTCGGAGAGCTGTCTCCATCAGGCAGCAAACTCTCAGCACTCACCAGGGAGCAGAGGCACCTCCACCATGCCTGGAAACTGCTGTTCTAGGAAATGCCCCTCCGTGCCAGCTGTCTCCCTCTGCTCCACCGAGGTGAGCTGTGGAGGGCCTGTTTGCCTGCCCAGTTCCTGCCGGAGCCGGACTTGGCAACTGGTGACTCAAGATAGCTGCAGATCATCCAGCTGTGGCCCGCAGTGCTGTGAGCCCTCCTGTCCCGTGAGCAACTGTG